AAGTTTTACGGTCCATATTCTGTGTTGCGACATGTGTCTGCACAAGACTATGTGGTTTCTACCCCAGGCTGTAAATGACCAAAGCTTTGTCATGTAAACTTACTGAAACCTTATTTTGGGCATACTTTGGAAGATAAAGTTGTGAAGGCAGTTGCCTCTTCTGTGAAAGTAGACCTGAGCTGCACAGCAGGATTAGATGAGGATGTGCAGACTCCAGATGATGCCGTGTTCCAGCCTAGACCTAAGAACTCTGAGATGTTGGCTAATTTGCAAACATTATTGAGTCATTTGTCTTCAGAAAGAAGTGAGCAGTTGAAGCCGTTACTTTTGGACTGTCATGCTTTGTTCAGTGACCTTCCAACATGTACTAACTTAATGGAGCATGACATTGATGTGGAAGATGCACAGCCCATCCGTCAGCAATTTTATTGCGTTCCTCCAGAGAAAAGTACATTTTTTGAGTCAGAAATTCAGTACTTGCTGGACAATGGCCTGGCTAAAACATCTTGTTCCAGTTGGACTTCACCATGTTTGTTGATTAAAAAACCTGATGCTACTTATAGATTCTGTACTGATTACAGGAAATTTAACAGCATTACAAAACCTGACTCCTACCCACTTCCTCGGATGGAAGATTGTGTTGATCGTGTTGGAACTGCGAAGTATGTGAGTAAAATTGATTTGCTCAAAGGTTACTATCAAGTACCCTTGTCTGCTCAGGCCCAAGAGGTATCTTCCTTTATTGTTTCATCTGGATTATACTCTTATGCTTTAATGAGTTTTGGTCTTAGGAATGCACCTGCCACTATCCAGCGGTTGATTAATCAAGTAGGGGCTCGGTTGGAAGGTTGTGCTGTCTACTTAGATGATGTAGTGGTCTTCAGTGACACATGGGCTAAACACATGCAATTTATTCGGAAATTGTTTCAGCATTTTCAGGATGCTCATTTAACTGTAAACTTCGCAAAATGTGAATTTGCGAAAGCTACAGTGACCCATTTGGGTAAAGTTGTTGGGCAAGGACAAGTAAAACCAGTAAGCGCTAAAGTCAAGGCCATTGATAGTTTCCCATCTCCTACCTCAAAAAAGGAGTTGATGAGGTTTTTGGGTATGGTGGGTTACTATAGAAACTTTTGTGAGAATTCTTCTATGGTAGTGGCTCCATTAACTGACCGATTAAAGGCTAAGGTCCAGTTTACATATTTTCTATTGATAAAGGCATAAGTTCCTCTTAAGCACTGCACCTGTTTCGTCTGCTCTGAGATTAGAGCGGCCATTCAAAGTACGAGTTGATGCAAGTCAAGTGGATGTGGGAGCCAATTTGTTGCAGACTGATGAAGGTGTTGACCATCCAGTATGTTTCCTTTCTAAGAAGTTTAATATCAACGTAATTATTCGACTGTTGAGAAAGAGGCCTTGGCTCTTTCTCAATAGTCGAATAATTAAGTTGATGTTCTGGTATGTGGGTGGAGGTGCATTTCCTGTTGCGGTGTATTCAGATCATAGCCCTTTGACCTTTTTGCACTCCTTACAGAGTCTAAATCAGCGGTTTATGCAGTGGGCTTTATTACTGCAACCTTACAACCTTCATATTTGGCACATTGGAGGCACTGAAAATGTGCTGGCTGATGCATTGTCTTGTGCCATTGATTGACAAGACTAACAGAAAAATGGCTACAGAGGTCCTAGTTGAGATCCTCTGTTTTAAGGGGGGGGGAGTGTTATGGCTGCAGTGGTTTTCTGCCCTTTTCCTTGCAGGGTTTTGGATGCAGGCCTTCTGCAGGTGTTCTGTTTTGCCCTAATTGGTGCTCATCTGCTTTAAAAGCTGTCATGCAAGCAACAGACACGAGGTTCACCCTCTTGCCTCCTCAGAACCCAGTTTGGTTTGTATTCTATGGTTGGGTTTTGTTATGTTAGTTTGCATTTGCTTATTTCTGTTTTTGTTCCTTTAGTATAATTTAATAAATTCAATCTTTAGTTAATAAGAAAATCCTTGTGTGGTCTCTTTTAATGTTACCCCCACCAAACAGGCCTGGTGAACGTAACACCTCACAATGGGTAAAATAGTGTATTAATAAGCAACAGAGTGTATGTTGTAAATAGTGTGGAACTGAGTACCAAAACAAAGCTAAGAGAAGTAGAACTAAGATCTAAATGCAGCGCGACATTGAACTTGTACTAAAATAAAGGAGGAAGAATGGTAAAGCTCATTACCAGTTTAATAAACCTTACTGGTCTGTATTGTACCAAGGACAAAGCACGTTAACCGAGCACAGTTAATTTTCAGCACAGTGGAACACAGATTGTAACCCACCCATAACTGGGTATTATTACTTATCAAACGTAGCTGAGGGAACACCATTAGCTTTCACCCACAGAATAGCAGTTCCAAAGATGGCGGCTCCCAGAACAACCGCGAGGGACGGGTTACTCACCCCACCATGAATTACCAGTTTTAGATAAATGGCAATAAAACTGCTCCAACGGTAAAATAGTCCCTTCCGGCTCACAAGCTTAGTTTGCATCTGCAGCTCCAACAACCAAGCAAAACGTTGAGTGTGGTCCGGTTCTGTTGCTCCAAAACCCAGGCAAAAACATACCAAAAAATGTTTAGCTCCAAATGGATCGCAAAAAAAAAAAAAGTAGCAGTCACAGTAATATAGATCTGACCTCATCCATGAACGGCCGCCGGCTGACTGCCAGTACGTAGCTGCAGGCACTTACACATCCCGTCTGGTTCTTTCCCATCCCAACAAAACCAATCACATTTCTTAAACTTGATTTTGCACTTGACTGACCAGAAAGGTACAGACACGTAGCATAAGTAAATAACAGTTGTTAACCAACACTACATTTTCTGTGTGTTTTCAAGCTGATAGAGAATATCTGTATGCCCTATAGGGTTATGGATATTTGCAGTGTTTAAAACCGCTAGTATGTGAGTTTAAAACATTAACCAAGCTAAGTAAAATGTGATTATTACTGTTTAAGGTAAAATGGTCTACAATGCACTGTATTTAAGAAAATGTTTACGGGGCATAGGAGAAAAAAATATTAATATAACCTGAAGGGTTACATAATGGGTTAGCTTCATCTGGATTTATAGACTGATATAGCTGGGTATCATCAGCATAACAGTGGAAATTAATCCCATGCTGTCTAATAATTCTAGCCATTGGGGGCATATATAAAGTAGAGAGAATTGGTCCTAGCACTGATCCCTGTGGTACTCCACACGTAACCTTTGAGCATGAGGAACATTTATCATTAACACAAGCAAACTGAAATCGGTCAGATAAATAAGATTAAAACAGGTCTACTGCTGTTTTTGTAATTCCTACAAACTATTCAAGTCTTTCTAAAAGAAAATATTGATCAACTGTATCAAATGCAGCACTAAGATCCAACAGGACGAGCACAGATAAGTTCATTATCTGAGGCCATGAGAATATCAGTTGTGACAATTCGTGACGGATCCTACCCTTACCCTAATGGATCTTGAAATACTGGTCATCATTGTTTTTGTGGCCATATTAGCCCCATGGGTGATAAATGGGTTTTAGCTTCAGACAAACCCTGATAACCTATTTTATTGTATAGAGCCCACAAGCATTGTTGTGATGACTCAAAAAATGTTCTTTCCCCACATATGTTAATGTTTATTGATCTTTTATTAGCAAACTCTGACAGAGCAAGATAGCAAGTCTTAAGCAAAATATCAAATAAAAAAATCTATATTAGTATGGTTTAATCATCTGACCCCTCCTTTATGTCTGTTGGGGTTTCTTCAATGGATCTGGTCAAATTTCTTTTTCTTCGTTTCTTCGGAGCATCTTCATTTGGTTTGGTCAAATGTCTTTTTCTCCTGCAGTGAAAGCGAGCATCCTCCTCTGGAGTGATACGGCTGAGTTACTTTGCTCCTCTGTAATGGGGAACCCAGACAAGAGTTCCCACATCAGCAAAAGCTTGCCTCTTTTAACATGTCCAGAATGGGATGCTGCATTTCCATGTAAGGGACTGGAGGTGATCACCTCATCATCCAGGCCTTGCAGTCCTTCCTGCCTCCAGTACAGTCTAGACTTATGAACTACAGGCCCCAGCTAATCAGGGCTAAACCAACAGTTAAGGACGTCAGTGCCCGTGACATCATCAATGACTCCTCACACCCCCACCATGGACTGTTCTCCCTGCTGCCTCTTGGAAGAGGCTTCGAAACATTTGATGCAGGTCCATCAGATTCTTCAACAGCTTTTTCACTGAAAAAAAAAACAAAAAACGAAAATACTGCATATTTGCACCATATAGCTTAATGCTTTCATCTTCCATATCAATGTGTCTTTTTGCATCATGTTTTTTCTCCCTTGCTGTTTACATTTGATCACTGCTGCACTTTGTGGAATGGAACTTTACTAACTGGAAAGCTGTATTTAACAAAATTTTATTTTGTATACATCCTGTGTATAGAAAACAACAAACGTCTAAGTCTAAAAACTGAATTCACTGTTTTTATAACTGTACTAACTCCATTTTCTGTTTCAAACAGTTTTTACAGGGAAAAAAACAGTCCCGTTGCCCTGCCGATTGCTTAATATTTAGCAAAAAATTAGGAAAGCTTTATTATTTAGGCCCGTTCTTCCTTTTTCTTACCTCAATGCTTATTTTTAATACGATAGAACAGAGAAATTTAATTAGAAAATAATTTAAAATCTGCTCAGCCTCTGACACATTGAGCTGGGGTCTGTCTCTTCCAGGCAGAGGTGTTCAGGAAGCGCTGCTGAGGGTAGGGTGTCTCATTACTTCCTCATTTGCCAGACAGTCACTGTGGTGTTGGATGTAAATGCTTTACTGACTTTAATAATTCATTGTGGGGAAAACAAAATTAGAACAGAAGGAACTTCATGTCTTCAGGTTGCTTGACAGGATCCATTCACTGCTCAACTCAAGGACAGAATTTAGTGCTTTTATGTGAGGTGTTTTTTATTTAACCACCAATAGAAAGTCTTTCTGCTGTTTGTCTTTCCAGACCGCCTGCAGGATTATGTTGGGAAAGAGGAGGATTTCTCTGACCAGCAGCTCTATGAACAGGAGAGGAATTCCAGTTTGGATCAAGAGGAACCAGAAGCTCTGCAGATAAAAGAAGAGCAGCTAAAGCCAGAAGATCCCTGGACTAAAGAGGAAACCATGGAGCTCAGCATAAGTGAGCAGGAAGAGCAGCTTGTTCTGAAGCAAGAGACTGAAGATACAGGAGATAAATTTTTCCCATGTTTGACATGTGGAGAAAACTTTCTTAAAAAAGAACATTTAATAGATCACATGAGAATTCACACAGGTAAGAACATTTATGAATGTCTGTCCTGTGGAAAAATGTTCATAAAGAAATGTAGACTTCAAAGGCACATCAGAATTCAAAGCCACCTACAAACATCTTAAAAGCATTCCTGCATTATCCTTTGTCAGCATTATTTTCTCTATATTTCATTTTGATTAAACAAAGAATCTCTCCACGGCCTCCTTTACTAAAACAGTGATCGATTCATGACACTTGATCATCAGTGTGTAAGAGCTTAGAGCGCAACCGGTGAGGCAATGCTCAGCAGTTATGCTCTTCTTCTCGTAATACTGGTTCAGCAAAAAGTTAAAGGGTTATTTCACCTCTTTTCTTACAATCTTAAGTGTTGTTAATCTGCTCTTTTTTTAAAATTATAGCAATCAGACGCCTCAAACCTGGTTTATATTATTCCAAGTACAGCTGGGGGGTAAATCAAATTCAATTATTTAATGTTTTTATAAAGTCCAGGATTTGAAATGTAGCTAAAGTGTAAGATCGAGGAAGTCTCTTCTTCTGCGTTTTTTACTTGCTTCTCTACATTTTTCCTCCTTCCGCCTGATAGCATGCTGCACTGTTTACTCACACCATGGCCGCTGCTCAATCTGAACAGTTGGTACAGAGAAAAGGAACTCGTGTTCCATCAATTATTTGGAAATTGATTTGTTTTACGGTGTAAACTGATAATCAAATTATTAGCAAATTGTTTGTTTTTCTAAGAAGGGAATAATGAGAGGCTATTCCAGCTAAAACAGGCGCAGACATATTTGTGTTGCTTCAGCCTCTGGTTGACATGATTTCATCAAATGCATCACTGCATTTCAAATAGTTCAAAGGGAAAAAAGTGGATTCATCGTTATTCTTTTGTCATCCTGTGTTATATTTTAATGCTTTAGACTTAAGGCGTATCACAGTGATGCACAGTTGCTTCACCATGGACTGAGTCATCTAATAGGAGGAGTTTTAGCTGCATGAATCTTTTTCATGAGAATAACCAAAGGTTTGTCACAGGAATGTAGTGTGGATTAGTTTTTACTGTAGGCCTCAGAGTCAAGTAGAAATAAACAGGGGAGGGAAACGACTGAACTTGTGTTTTGTGACTGAAGTCGACATTTCTGCTGCAGAATGTGATTAAAAAATTGTCATCTATGTTAACTTAACCCTGTTTTTCTGAAGATATTTTGCATTACCCAAATTGTGTCTTTAGAAGAGCTGCATTATGTCTGTTTACAATCTAGTTCTGAGAAGGTTTGCAGTCTAGCTCTGCACTGAGGCCAGTGAAGGCAGAATGCTAGATAAAGAGCTGGATCAGACCAGAATGGGATGGAGCTCTGGCTTTCTGAAGGGCTCCTCCCTTTTATTTTGGCTTCTGTGATAAATGTGTGTTCATACCCTTGTTTGGGCTCATCCATAGGGTCACAGTGGAGGTTCAATCCCCACAGCCTCCACTCTGGCTCTCTGAGTAAGACCCTTAACCCCCAATTGCACAGCTGACCGCTCCCCAAGGGGATGGGTTAAATGTAGAGATACATTTGTGCAGTGTGAGATCAAAAAAGTTTTTAAAAATTATAATAATCCTGGACAGATCAGCAAAAAAAATAACAAAAATCTAAAAAATATTTTGAACATTTCTTTATTGGTTAGGATTCTGCAGGTAATCAGATTTTAAAGCTTTGATGATAAAAGTGGAGGTCCAAACCTTAACAGATTATGGATAATCAACCAGTCTCTTATAACCTTATATTGTGATGTCAGAGCTGTGGTGCATGCTGGGAGATGAAGTTCCAGTCTGTTTATATGTAGTTAGATCAATGCAAGGATTATTAAACTGAAGTGTCTTTTCTTTAATCTACAATAGAAAGTCTTTCTGCTGTGTTTGTCTTTCAGACCACCTGCAGGATTATGTTGGAAAAGAGGAGGATTTCTCTGACCAGCAGCTCTGTGGACAGGAGAGGAATTCCAGTTTGGACCAAGAGGAACCAGAACCTCTGCAGATAAAAGAAGAGCAGAAAGAACCAGAACATCCCTGGACAAAAGAGGAAACCATGGAGCTCCCCTTAAGTGAGCATAAGGCTGAAGATACAGGAGAGAAACCTTTTCCATGCTTAACATGGGGAGAAAACTTTATAAAAAGAGAACATTTAATGGATCAAATGAGAATTCAAACAGGTGAGAAGCCTTTTGAATGTCTGTCCTGTGGAAAAATGTTCAAAAATAAATGTTATCTTAATACACACATCAGAATTCATACAGGTGAGAAACCCTTTTCCTGTACAATTTGTAAAAAAACTTTTGCTGAAAAGGGTAGTTTGACTTCTCACATGAGAATTCACACAGGAGAGAAACCTTTCTCCTGTACCTTTTGTAACAAAAAGTTTACTAAAAGCAGTCATTTGACTTATCACATGAGAATACACACAGGTGAGAAACCTTTCTCCTGTACCATTTGTAACAAGGAGTTTAATCAAAAGGGTAAATTGACTTCTCATATGAGAACTCATACAGGAGAGAAACCTTTCTCCTGTACCATTTGTAGCAAGAAGTTTGCTCAAAAGAGTAAATTGAATTGTCACATGAGAATTCACACAGGTGAGAGGCCTTTTGAATGTCAATCCTGTGGAAAAATGTTCAAAAAGAAAACTAATCTCAATACACACATCAGAATTCATACAGGTGAGAAACCTTTCTCCTGTACAATTTGTAAAAAAAATTTTACTGAAAAGAGTAGTTTGAATTCTCACATGAGAATTCACACAGGGGAGAAACCTTTCTCCTGTACCATTTGTAAAAAGAATTTCTCTGTAAAGAGTACTTTGACTTCTCACATGAGAATTCACACACGCGAGAAACCTTTCTCCTGTACCATTTGTAACAAGAAGTTTACTCAAAAGCGTAAATTGACTTCTCACATCAGAAATCACACTGGTGGGAAGCCTTTTGAATGTGTCTCTTGAAAAAAAAGCTTCACCTCTAAGTCTGATATTGAGAAACACAAGGTGAGAAGCTGTTCTCCTGAATGAATTGTGGTACAGGTTTTAGATGAGAAGGTAATTTGAGTATTCAGATTACTTTTATTCATGCATGATCTGTAATGATTTATATTTTTTTGGGGAAAAAAACTTGCTTTAAATGTGTCCAAGCAGTGCGATGCCACAGGAATGAATACTAGAGGCATTTTCCATGTTTGACTGTTGATAAAATCCACATCTGCAAACTCCTTCACCTGATTACATGAGAATCTCACAGGTTAATGGTCTTTTTTGATAAATCTATTAACTAACAGCCTTGTTTATATAGAAACTAGAGCAGATAAGGTGTTATATTGTAAACCTGGTAAATATTCAGGTCCTGGGTGAATGTGTGGATGTGAACATCTGAAAGGTAATCATTTTGGGCCTGAGTAAATGAAATTTAAATGTCCAAAAAAAGTCACCTTAATAAAAAAAATGTTTAAATTCACAGTTTCTTACTTATTTTTGAATGAAGGGAATAAACATAATAAAGTGCCACAACACGGCTTGGTTACAGATAAAGCAAGTTTGTGTCCATACCACAAGCAATTGAGAAGTTATAGATGTTTAAATTGAAAAAATCGGACCCCTACTGAGCCATTTTGGCATGGTGTGGCACAACGTTTTCTGAATGAATTTATTCAGGAAAAAAATCCAAGTTTAATTTTTGGGACTAAGAAACTTTTAGTTAAATAAGTTATTGGTTGGATATATTCCAGAAACAGACTTTTATTCAGATGAAAATAAACGTAAAGCTAGGACAGATTTAATGTGCTTTGCTTTGTTTTTTTTTTATGTTTTTGGAGGATTTTTTAAAGGTCAGCTGCAAATGATCAGAGTTTAGCTAATTCAGTGTCTTGTTGGCTTTCATTAGCAATGCATCAATCAGCCCTGCTATGTGTGTTGTTGAAACCAGGCCCACCACAGTGTCCCAGTGTTAGAGCTATGGTCAATAGATATTAGAATGAAGTAGATCATCTATATAGGAGTCTCAGATGAAGATTTGGGACATATAGAAGTGTGTGTCAGTCTCAGAGTTAGTCAGCTACAAGCTAATTAATGTTGCAAAGTAGCTCCAGCCACCTTGAAAGGGGGTGCTGGGATTATGGGGTTAAACTACGGGACATCAAAGAACTCAGTTTAGAGGCTGGAGTCTGTAGTTCAGGTAAATTGAAGTCCTAAAATGATGAAACATGTTTGTTTAAAAAGATAAACTAGATTGATGATGTTGCTGTTATTTTACTGATCAGTTTGAACCTGCTTTAACTCGGTAAAAAGCCTTTGTCTTAATAATGTATTAATGCATTTTCCATGTTTTCTCTGATATTTTCAGCCAAACTAAAGCTGTAAAATAAATAGTTTAATGGCATTCACCTTCTGTCTTCTCCAGTCTTTCCTGTTGCTCCTCTGTGTGCAAAGCTGGCTCATTAGTTTCAGTGTCTAATAAAGGTGCTGGAGATCTCAAAGCTCACATGGACCCTGAAAAACCTGAAAAAGCTCTGAGAGAGTTGAGAGTTATTCTGCAAAGTTGACTGAGTACTTTGTTAGACCTGGGAACATTTGTTGAAGCTGTACTTTCTAGTACAGAAGAGGTCATGTTTAGAACATGGTTTTAATTTATGTATTTTAATAGAGAGCTATAATTTTGTTACTGGTTGTTACAGATTTAGTTTTACTACAAAGGTTATTTTTGTATCATTTAGGTATAATAAAGCTGTTGATGAACCTTTGAGAAGCCTGTCTGAATCCGTCTGGAGGCTGGGCAAAGTGTCCTCTTTATGGAAATCTAAATATGCTCACCCTAATATATATACCTATTCTAAAAGAATTAGTTCTGTAGTTCCCATTTTTAAGCCAACTGATGTTTGCAGGAGCTGTTTTGAACTAGACTACAGAGGGACGGCAGCAGTTTATGGATCATGTTACTTCATGTTTTTGAACTTTATTAGGGAGATTCACTGAGCCTCCTGATGGGTTTTTAGGCACAAGACAATTTGGAGATAAAGGCTCTTTATCTAAACACAAATAATCCAGTAGATTGTATGTTTGACCTCCTCTGCCATAAAACACCAGCATATTTACATAAAATTGTTAAAATTAAGAATACATTTTTTTAATGAAACCTTTGTTTAACTGCCAGGTGCAATAAATGTCAAGAGAGGGGACACTAAATGTAGAGAACAGCTGTCAGTCTCTGCTGTAAAACGTTGGTCATTTGACAGACATTTCCTCCGGTTAAACTGCTCCTTCCTCTGGTTAATTCTTTTCTTCCCTCTGGAAAAACCTCTCCCTTGCGGAGACACCGGCCCGACAACCCACAAGATGGGGGACTGTGGAAAATGTGGGAGATGATGGAAACCACAACAAACTGAAGAAAGAAGGTGCCCAGCTCAACAAGGTAGGCGCAATAAATGTCAAGAGGGGACTCTGGGAGCGTGAATGCCACTCAAACACAAATAATCCAGTAGATTGTATGTTTGACCTCCTCTGCCATAAAACACGAGCATATTTACATAAAATTGTTAAAATTAAGAATACATTTTTTTAATGAAACCTTTGTTTAACTGCCAGGTGCAATAAATGTCAAGAGAGGGGACACTAAATGTAGAGAACAGCCGTCAGTCTCTGCTGTAAAACGTTAGTCATTTGACAGACATTTCCTCCGGTTAAACTGCTCCTTCCTCTGGTTAATTCTTTTCTTCCCTCCGGGAAAACCTCTCCCTTGCGGAGACACCGGCCCGACAACCCACAAGATGGGGGACTGTGGAAAATGTGGGAGATGTGGGAAACCACAACAAACTGAAGAAAGAAGGTGCCCAGCTCAACAAGGTAGGTGCAATAAATGTCACAAGAGGGGACACTGGGAGCGTGAATGCCACTCTAAAAAGGGTGAGTGAAATCACTGAAGAATTTAAACAGATGTGCTTTCTGGGAGAAGTAGGAGGAGAAAATAGCCAGGATAACTAGACTGTAAGCTTGGTAATATGCGACAAACCAATAGCCTTTAAAAACGACACAGGGGCTGATGCTACAGTCATGAATGATATTTAAGAAGATTAAATCCAAAGTACCACTGGATCCCCCCGACACATGCGTCTTCAGCCCAGGAAATGACATCAGTTGAACAGGGATGTTTCAGGCCTCCATCACTTACAAAGAGAGACTGTATACATCCGTGTATGTGATAAAAAGGAAAAGGAAACTGCCTACTGAGCCGACCTGAAGCAGTGGCAATGGGTTTAGTAAGGCGAGTGGATGGGGTTAGCGGTGTTTTCAAGTGGACTAATGAAAACTGAGCCTGTGTATATATATATATATATATATATATATATATATATATATATATATATATATATATATATAGGGTTTTGGAACAAAATTAATTTTGTGCTGTGTATTTTTGAAAACAAGGACCGTAAGGTGGTAGGACAATGACATTAAGATGGAAGGAGAGCATATGATTATGGACAAAACCCCAACCTCTGTTATTGGAGAGGCACCTTTCACACAAGCTTTTCAACTGCAAAGGGACCAAGCAGAATGTGACATCCTTTCTAATGATGCCATTGGCACATCTAACCATTACCACTGTCCTGGTGTTATTGATGTGCTATTAAGAACTTGCATGGGGATCTTTCCTTTATGGAGTGGTTTGCTTCTTAGTGATCTGACTCAAAGACTGAAATGAAAATGGCAGATCAAAGGCTTCAAACAAGAAATACCAACTGCCTTGTAAACTGTGTTTTTTTTTTTAGTCAAGCATTCAAACCTGCAAAAGAAAAGGTACTAGCGACCAGCAGAGTTTGTGTCCAAAATGTGTGACTCAATGCAGGGAAGATATATTGAGCATATCATACAACAAAATCTACCAAAACAGATTTTTGACAAACTCAATGCAAGTTCAGGAAAATCAGATGAAGACCCAACTGAACAAAGGAACAAGCAGGGCGGTTTAAATCACAAAGTACTTCAATCCACCGAAAAAACAACAAAAATAAACCGAAGAGTAAGCAATCAAAGAGGATCACCAAGACATAGATGCACAGGTGTTGTTTTGTATATATTTATTACTATTATTTGAACCTTTGTTTTTTTTATCAGGTTATTGAGGGCCTGCTAAATTTTTTTGCTCACACATCAAGTGTGATGGACAAGACCTATTTAATGAGTCACTATACTACAGGTTGTATTCTGTTTGGTGATAGAACAAAGCTACATCAACAAAGTTTATGAAAGGTAACATTGTGTGTGTGATCTTCTTTATGCTAACCTGGTGGGGACAATTTCAGACAAATATGCAACATTTTCTTGATTTTATCATAAAAATAAAAAAAGGTGGATATTAGTTCAATAACCTTTTTTATGTTTTTTGTGTTTGATTAACAAAACCGTTGCGCAATGTGCGCCACGTTCAAGCCAACTGGACCAGGAACTGCCATTGTTCGTTGGGTGAGTAGTATGATGGATGATAATACAGCAATGACAAAGATATAAAAATATTTCAATGTCAAATATTGATATATATACAAAGATTAAAATATATATTTAGTGTTTATTTCAACAGATACAATGCGAGAAATGCGACAGGTGTTTCCAAACTTCAGGTCTTTCAATGGGGAGCAAGGACATGGAAGACAGCCCTGAGAAAAAACTGGCAGTGTCTGTTATGTGAATAAATGAAAGAGACACTGGTTCTACAGAAACATGTTTTTTATTTTTAAACTGGTCATATTTTTTATTAATTAAAATTTATCATGTTTAAAAATATTTATTTATATATAAATATTAGCATCTTTGCTCGTTAGCTTCTAGGTAATTCAATCGAGTCAAAATCAGTGTTGGATCATAGCACTCCATCTTCTTCGAAAAGCTTTTATTTTTACATGTCAACATTTTTATTTATTAATTTTTATATAGAAATATTAGCATTTTTGCCCAATAGCTTCTAGGTAATATGCTCAACTGAGTCAATATCAGTTTTGGATCATAGCACTCCATCTTCTTCGAAAAGCTTTCATTTTTACATGTCAAAGTTTTTATTTATTAATTTTTATATAGAAATATTAGCATTTTTGCCCAATAGCTTCTAGGTAATATGCTCAATTGAGTCAATATCAGTTTTGGATCATAGCACTTCATCTTCTTCGAAAAGCTTTCATTTTTACATGTCAAAGTTTTTATTTATTAATTTTTATATAGAAATATTAGCATTTTTGCCCAATAGCTTCTAGGTAATATGTTCAATTGAGTCAATATCAGTTTTGGATCATAGCACTCCATCTTCTTCGAAAAGCTTTCATTTTTACATGTCAAAGTTTTTATTTATTAATTTTTATATAGAAATATTAGCATTTTTGCCCAATAGCTTCTAGGTAATATGCTCAATTGAGTCAATATCAGTTTTGGATCATAGCACTTCATCTTCTTCGAAAAGCTTTCATTTTTACATGTCAAAGTTTTTATTTATTAATTTTTATATAGAAATATTAGCATTTTTGCCCAATAGCTTCTAGGTAATATGTTCAATTGAGTCAATATCAGTTTTGGATCATAGCACTCCATCTTCTTCGAAAAGCTTTCA